CCGTACTGACATAAATGAACATTTGCACGATATTCTAATTTTTCGAGTTTCACCTGTACTTATTGTGGAGGGGAAAGTATTTTCTTTATATATTTCTTTTATTTTTCTTTACTATATTCTTATTTCTTCTTTCTTTTCTATGTTTCTATGTTTTTCTTTTCTGCAGTTTCTCTTTTTTTCTTTTTATGCTTTTCTTTTTTTTTTAGTTTGTATTAGTTTTTTAATTGTAATTTTTAATAAAATTACTATAAAAAAAGGAAAAATAGGGAAGACAGCATTCTCTCTACCACCTTGAACACCTGAATGAAAGGTAGGATAGAAATCAAATTATTGAGCTTTCTCTTTGATAAACTTTTGGGCTTTAGGACAAACACTGAGGCTGCAGTTCCAAGGGGAAGTTGCACGGTCAGAAGATCTGGTGACTGACAGCATCGCCACCCCTCGAACATAGGACTTTGAATCTATTCCAGCCTCGAGAGCATTATAGAGAAGCACCGGCCTTGCATTGTATGAAAAAAGGGGTCTTATTTTTGTTTTGTGTGTAAACACTTTTTTAAAAAATACATCCTGTGTCAAAAGGTTGGACGTGATTACCCCCATCCTGCAAATGGAGTTGGCTGGGGCATAACAATAATATAATATAGGTTTCAGCAGTCCTTGAATGTGGGCCCCTGTAGTATTGCAGTGGGGCGTTAAGACAAGCTAAAACAGGGGTTTAAAAGTATCCTGCAAGTATTGATGCTATTATCATCATTTCACTGAGAGAGTTCAGTAGTCAATGACAAAGCCCAATAAACCACAATAATGGGTTATAACGTAGCCTAAATCCATTTGAAGGAAGCTACTATTCCACTTTTTATGGGTACAGTTTTATTGACCGACTGACTGATTATGTGCTATTAAGTTGGTATTGACTCTTTGCGTTATATTTCCCCATTAATCTCAGAGAGGCTTAATTCTGAGCAAACATATATGTGATCAGGCTGAAAGTATAATTAGGCTGCAGACTGTATCCTAAATCTATGTTTACACTGAAAAAAAAATGAGCCCCTGAATTTAATAGGACTTGATTAAGTGAGGAGAGAACTCGAAGGGGGTTAACGTTGGCCGGCCTCGTCTGAACTTGGAAACTAAGCAGAGTGGGTTTGGTTAATCCTTGGATGGGAGATTACCAGAAAATATCAGAGTGGAAGGCTGGGCTGTATATTCAAAAAACATTTTGGAAAAAGGTAAGGGCAAAGCAGTTTCATGCTTCTACTAAAATAAAGTGCAAAATCTTGTCCATAAAATCCTCAAGAACCTTGAGAGGGGAGGAAGGATACTGATACAATATAATATCCTTGTGTTGCTGCCCCCACAGAAGGTAACATAGGTTACTTTCAGGGAGATGGGTGGGTTCCTGACTATGTACTACCCCTTGTCACCTACCAATGGGAAAGCTTGTGTAGTTGCACAGGGTTCAGAGTTCGAGCAGGCTCTTCCCCAATTTATTTTATTTATTTTATTTTATTTAGTGGACTTGTCCCCGCCCATCTCCCCACAATTCCTCTTTGAAGATGATTCATTTCAGGTCTATGGGAACTGATATGGCCAGTATTACTGTCAGGCCCAGCCCAAGAACAATGGTCAAGCAGTCCAGTTAAGTTCCTTTATTTGCTTGCACCTTATAGGCAGAATCTTGCCAGACTAAATCTATGCTAGTGCAACTAGTGGATATACGCTGGGAGATTCTAGGGAGTGGCTATCCTGAACTTCTTAAGCTTCCCACGCTCCTCCTGTGGGATGTGTTGTCTCTTGTCTCCTTGCCCTTCCTGAAATGCACCCCCTCCTTCCTGATAGTCTTGATCTCTCACATCACCCTCCTCTACGTAGATACATTCCATCACGACTACTGCTAGAGATTTTCATACCACTCTATTAAAAGTAAATGGAAACTGACCATTTCCCCTTTCCCTCTATCTCCTTCCTGTAATGCTTCTCCCTCAAAACCACTTCCCTTCAAGCTATTGCTCTTCTTGTAAGGAGGGGAAACACTCACTCCCACCCATACAAGCCTGCCCCTCCCCACAAGTCAGCAACAGTATGAGTGGAGTTAGAGTACTCGAGGCCTTCCCTGCTCCTTCAACTGCCGTCCCTCTTACATTTCAACCAATCAGTTATAGCAGTGTTTCTCAAACTTGGTAGTATTTTTAACATCCTTTTATTCCGTTTTATTTTGTTTTATATATTTTTATTGTATTTTACTGTTTTTAGCTTTGTTGTATACCGTCCCAGAGTTGCCTGTGGTAAGATGGGCGACTATATAAATTGATTAAATAAATAAATAAATAAATAAATAAATAAAGTAACTTGAATATGTGTGGACTTCAACTCCCAGAATTCCCCATTTTTCCAGGTTGGGCTTTGGGGAGGGAGGTGTTTAGATAGCTCACGCTCTACATTTTTTTTGCACCGCTGCTCCCAGGTTCTGCTCCAACCAGTCTCTGCTTTGCTGGAGGAACTATTCAGAGCCTACTTGAAAACCCTTTGCAGCATGTCTTTGGTTTGCATGATTCTGGACACGTAGCATCTAACCCTGAGCCAGAGACTGAAATCACAAAAGGGTTTTCTTTCTTTCTTTCATTCATTCATTCATTCATTCAATTTATATGGCCACCCATCTCACAAAAAAGTGACTCTAGGCGGCGTACAAGATTATAAAACAGTTAACATACAAAAACAATTATTATTCAAAAAAATTTAAAAATCACAAAGGCTAAGAGAGAATGGCAGATGTTAATAACAATGAAGGCATTTCAGTATTTGCCAGTCTCCTGGGGCCCCCAGGGCTAATGGCATAACCAGGTTTTGAGGCACATCTGGAAAATCAACAGGGATGGAGCCAGCCTCACTTCAGGGGGGAGGATGTTCCATAAGGCGGGCACCACAGCAGAAAAGGCCTGCCCCCTAGGTCCTGCCAAGTATAGCTCCCTAGCAAATGGGAGCCGTAGCATGCCTTCCTTCTTCTGTTGCGCAACCACCAAAAAGGGGAGGTTAGATACTGGACAAAAATTGCCCAGTATAGTAGGGTCCAGCGATGGCTTCTTGAGAGGGTGAACCAGTGTAAAGGAACAACCCCCTCACTCAAAGAAGAATTCACCACCACTAGAACCCAGTCACACGATACCCCCGGGCCGCTTTAACAAGCCAGGAAGGGCATGGATCTAGAGCAGGTGGCTGAACTCACAGTCCTAAGGACCCTGTCCACTTCCTCAGGTCCAGCAGGTTCAAACTGTTCCCAGATAACCAGGCAAGAGTCCTCCCCAAGCATCTCCTCCAGAGCTGCAATAAGGCCAGCATCCAACTGTGAGCGAATACAAGCAACTTTGTCCAACAGATGCTGAACAAATTCTTCCACACACCCCTGCAAGGGGTTCTCCAAGCCTCCTTTACTCAAGAGGGCACATGTCACCCAAACAGGACTGTGGGACACCTATCCACAGACTCAATAAGAGTGGAGAAGTACTGATGCTTTGCTGCCCTTACCACCACAAGATAGGCCTTAATAGCAGCTCTAACCCATGTTTGGTCAAGTTCCTCCCCTGTTGAATGCCAACAATGCTCTAGACACTCTTCTCTCATTTCATCTCTCTCAGCCTTTCTGTGAACGATGGGGAGTGATGGGATCCACAAGAGGGGAGAGACTGCATGAGCGCAATCTGATCCAAAGCTTCAGCCTTCCCCCTGTTCCAAGCAGCGACCAAGGGTTCAGATGGACCATGCAGCAGATCAGCAGGAACAGTCCCTAGCTTCCTCTGAAACCCATCTGGGTCCATCAGTCACTGGGGGTGGACCAATCTAATGGGTTCAGCCTCCCTGCAGTGAATAGTGGTGCTAGAGAATCCCATGGTAATCAGGGCATGATCTGACCATGACAAGGGAGACACCAAGAGCTCCTCCAAGTTCAGATCACATATCCATTGCTCCGACAGGAACACCAGATTGGTGTGTGACCACTGTTCCATGTTGGGCTCTGGGTGACCTGGGATATAGGCCCATGTCTGTCATGGTGGCCATGAACTCCTGAACCACCTCAGACTGCACTTCTAGAGAAGGCAGATTGAAGTCCCCCAAGACCATAAGTCTGGGGAACTCCACTGCCAACTCAGAAATGGAGTCAAGGAGATCAGGCAGGGGGGTTGCTATGCAGCAAGGAGGCTGGTACAATAGCAACAATCGCAACTGATCCTTAGAGCCCAACTGAAGGAACAGGGTCTCACATCTGGTAACCTATGGTGCAACACCCCTGAAAGCCGTAAAAGATTCCTGGCTGACAATCACCACACCTCCACCCCTGCCCTGGGGTCTCGGCTGATGCCACACCCAAAACCCAGCTGGACATATCTCCGAGAGGGCCACCCCCCTTTTCCGGACCTAGCCAGGTCTCAATAATACATGCCAGGTCAGCCCGCTCATGCACGTTTTAAAAGTTCTTGCCATAAGAATATCAACTTCTTGATTGTTGGGGTGGCCACAGGAATCCTGTGAAGATTTTATTTTAATTCTCTATCTTCTATAAGATCTGCATTCCACGAGGTTTATATTCCCAAGTGTCAACCACTAAGAGTGCAAAGGAACTGACTACACCACTAAGGTGTCTGGTCTGTCTGGTACCACAGCATAAATAGTTATGGAGATGCAAAGCCAGCAGCCAGATGTGAGGGGTGGTCCCACAGCAGACCTGCCGGGGTCAACTGGAGCTCAGCCTCTGAAGGTTCCTTTTCTACGTGCCCTAGAATTGGGAGATTTTCTGCTACCATACAAGGGAAAGTGCTTTTTCATGCTGGAGCACCTTTGAACGTCATCAACCTGCCTCAGGAGATGGAGGCTCCATCACGCTCAGGAGATGGAGTGTGAGGTCATGTCATCAAGAAAGAGTTAGTAGGATATTCAGTTCAGGATGTCACTCACCCTGTGGAACATCACCTCCCTTGAAGTGAGACTGGTGCCATCCTTGATGTTCTTCCAGAAGTCCTGTGGAGTCCTTGGGGTTCTCTGAGCTTGGTCCTTTTCTTGCAAACGTTTCATTATCCAGCTAAGATGTTACCTAGCCGGGTAATGAAACGATTGCAAGAAAAGAACCAAGCTCAGAGAACCCCAAGGACTCCACAGTTGAACCCTGAGCTACACATATTCGCCTCAATCGTTTCATTACCCGGCTAGGTAACATCTTAGCGGGATAATGAAACGTTTGCAAGAAAAGGGCCAGGCTCAGAGAACCCCAAGGACTCCACAGTTGAACCCTGAGCTACACATATTCGCCTCAATCGTTTCATTACCCGGCTAGGTAACATCTTAGCGGGATAATGAAACGTTTGCAAGAAAAGGGCCAGGCTCAGAGAACCCCAAGGACTCCACAGTTGAACCCTGAGCTACACATATTCGCCTCTATTGGTTCCAGAAGTCCCTCAAAACTTGGCTGTGTCAACAGGCTTGGGGGTTTTAAGGAAATGGTGATTTAATGAGGTGGCTACATTGTTTGTAGTTCTCTCCTAGACTTTTAATAATAATATTAATGTTTTAATTGTGGACTGTTTTTAATATTGTCATTTTATGGGGGTTTTGATGGTACGACATCCAGAGTCGCCTTTTGTAAGACGGGCGGCCATACAAATATGAAAGATAGATAAATAGATAGCTAGATAGAGCGAGCGAGCGAGCAGGAACGTGTGTGGATAAGCTGTAACTGAAGCTGCACACACGCCCATTCCACGCAGGTTTATTCGTAAATAAACCACGACTGAGGTCAAAAGGGGTGAGATTTATACGTCCCGGGGGTCGCAAAATTGCAACGCGACATACGGTTAGCCAGGAAGCGAGATGAGCTACCTGCACACAGTCCTCAGCTCTGCCGCGATCTCCGGCGTGCAGAGAAAATCCTCAGTCACCGCCGCCTCGTCGTCGGCAGGTTCTGCCTGCTGGAGAGACACATCTTCCTTGCGCAGCGCCTCTTTCCACAGAGCCCCAAATGCGCCCACGTGGAACGCCCGAGTGTTCAGCTCCACAGTCTCATAATCCGGGATATTGTTCCGGGCACCGGCGCTACTTCCAGCCATTTTGGCACCAGGAGGCAGCGGAGAAGGGGCGAGGCGAGAAGCGACGGCGGGGTCCCAGTGGCTTCTGGAACTTGTAGTTTCTTTCTCTCCAAACGGTAGAGACTTGTCGCAGGATTGGCCAACCCAAGCGGCATTTCCGGTGTTGCTGATGCATAAGTTCCAGAGGACTCAGCCAATAAGGTCGATGATAAGGGATGGTGGGAGTTGTAGTTCAAATGCATCGGAGAGCCGGCGGGATGCGTTTGCTTATTTTACCAGCAAACCGCGAAACTATCTAGACGCCCCAGGCCCGTGTGTGCGGATTATTTTTATTTAAATAACCATCATGCAATTAGAAGAGAATGAAACCACAGCGGCAGCGATTGTGCACTCACTGGATTGTGCCTAGCTTTAAAGCCTGTTGTAATTTTACGTAACTTTAAAATCGTGCTATTTAAGTTGATACTTTTGGAATTGTTATTATTTTAACAGTATTGTATCTTTAAGTCACACTGTGCACTTTTTATTAAAAAGGCAGGATAAGGGATCATACATATAAACCATACATAGAATAATAATGTTAATATAATAATAATCACAGCAGCTAAAATATTCGAAAGGGTTACTGCAGGTTACTGCAACCTGGTTGAGAATGCTGGCAGGTGCGATCCTATCGTATCTAGAAAGCACCAGCATGAATGATTGTAAATCTTTTTTAATAAAAAGGAGCTCACTTGAAATTCTCTGCTTAAGTCATCCAAGTATGAAAAACATTCTTGATAACTAGATTCTGTATGCTACTCTCCATGGATTATGTAACTCTTCGTTTTTCAGCTGACTGAGGGCTGGATTACAGGGGAATCCAAAGCTAACTAATTTTATATCCACGAACATTATTTCAATTCTTGATTATAACAATTGATGGTTTTAGTCAAAAAGCATCAACATCTTATTTATTTTATTAAAGAATGCACTCATAGACGAACATATCCAGCTAGAAGCCCATTCGCAGCTGAAGCTAAGCACTCCCACATTGCATCCCAGCTTAATGACTTCTGACCGCCATTGCTATGGCACAGAATTTGATCACCTTTGTAGAGACTTTGTGGTCCTCATTTAATAAGAAACATGCTGAGGCCTGTTAGGACCCCTCTGGGTAATCTGCAATTAGGGGGATAATTAACTCCACCCTCTGAGGATGAGAAACGGTATTTCAGAGGCACATGTACAACTGTCACAATTTCAGTATGTCAGCATATGCACAAATGCTCTTGATAGAGGACGTTATCAAATTTCCCCATCAGTACCATGGAGAACAGAGTGTATTACAGCACCAGTTTAAGTGTCTTCCTATGTGAGAGCACCAATATATAATAAAAATATTTGGAGATGCTGAAATGTGGGATCATGAGCTGGTTAAAGCAGAGATATGAGATGTTAAGACTATCCCTTGGTACATCAAGATTGAGTATTCTCTGATCTTATTCCAGGCTTTGTCCAACCACAACACAGGTAGGGACTGGAGGGTGAGCCCACAATAATCTGTATCAGACTAGATGTTATTGGCTTCTTCCATGGGAAATTGAATCTCTGTGTCAATGTACAATAAGTTGAACTAGAGACTCATCCTCCTAGATTTGTTTAAGCCAATATTTTAATTGGCACAGCCTCAGAAGGGCCTCCACAGAGACTCAACCAGGCTGAAGTAGTGCAGGAACTCAGAGCAAAGCTCTCAGGAATGTAGCCTGGGCAGATTCCAGCGTAAGGGGACCATATAAAACAAAGGCTTTAGCTTTGAAAAGTTGAATTGCTGCAGGTGCATAGTTAAAACTTGTGAATCATGTGGAGCATGAAGTCTGAAGATTGGAGTTTCCAGGATGTAGACCACTGAAAGTAGATCCCCAGTTGTTTGCAGGCATTAAGCTGCTCAATTTGAATCTTGTTAATTTTCCAAATAGAGGGGTGATTAGTATGCTGCTTGGCAAATGCAGCCACCTTTTTTACATCGACCATTTTTATGTGGCTGATTACTACATTTCATCCTGGCTAGTGCTCATGCATGGATGCTTCATCGAAGCCCCACTTGCGATGCAGAAAGAGCAGCAGCAGAAGCAGAAGCATGTACTTACATGAGAATGGTTTATGAGCTAGAGATGGAGGGTGAAATTCAGGTCTGGTGAGAGCCTGAAGCATCCAAATAATATTTTGGTGTGCAGAAATCTGTCATGATGTTGCTTATATTAAAGGTAGTCTGCAGTTTAAGAACAAGTTCTGTTCCCAAG